AACACTAGGAAAAATATTACTAATTCATCTATTCAATTCCTACTGCATATGAGGCAGTCTGCTCTGCATTCATTGTTTATGATACTAACAATAACCCTTCAAGGTAGGTATTATAGTATCTTTTTTGAAAATGCCAAAAATGAACCTCAGAAAGACTAAAATATGCATTAAAAGATAGTAGAACTATGATTTGAAATTAAGTTTTTTGGTCTCCAAAGCTCACATTTTATCTTAGAAGCAGGTAAGAGTTTTCACATAGAAGATGCTCTCATTTAATTAGTTTTCCCTCCCTTAAGGTTCTGGAGCAGCATAAAAAGAGATGAAGGAGGAACCTAGAGATTAAAAATAGATTTGAGAGACATACCAATTAGTCACTATATATGGACCTTTTTTCAGTTAAAACAACCACACTGTAAAAAGAAATGTGAATTCAGAAAATACAAACACTGATTATGGACATTTGATGATACTAAGAAACTATTACTGTGCTAAAAAATGAGACAAGGAATTTTTAATGTACTGCAAATATGTGTTCATAGACTATAAAATTATCAGTAGGAGGAGACTTTTCAATATTGGCTTAAGAGGGTTTTCACTAAATAAAAATTGTAGTACTTAACTGGTTTCATTTTACTTTATAAATTTTCTTAGTTTATGTCATCTTCAATGTGAATTTTTGATTCAGTGTAAAATATCATGGTGTATTCATGGCTAAATTTCTGTCAAGCTATTGATACAATGCACATTTTTAAGGTAGAATAATGTTAACTTGAGAAATAATTAAATACTTTCTTTTTTTTAGGTTTATGGAAGACCTAAGAGATATGCTAGGCTTTGCTCCCAGCAGATATTACTACTATATTTGGAAATACATTTCTCCTTTAATGCTATTATCATTGCTAATAGCAAGTGTGGTGAATATGGGATTAAGTCCTCCTGGCTATAATGCCTGGATTGAAGATAAGGTAAAATACAAAATAAAGAAGTTAGATTTAAAAGGCTATACAAAAAGCCATTTTAGAGGGATTTGTCTTTTGTTTTCTTCACAATATTTTTTGCTGTTTAATGAATGGTGTTGCTTTTTGGAAGGATCTTGAGATGTTTTGTACCCCAACCATCTATTATTTTTTAAATACATTGTGAATTTCCTTAACACATGGGAAATACTGACCTTGTCCTTATTAAAGCAGATTTATTCATTTTAACATTGATGAACCAATAAATTACTGGGCCTTTGACTCTAGAAAATATTAATCCAAACTCCAGAGATATTGTTAATGTGTAATTTATTACATTGTATCTCAGATACTATATAACAATGAAAATATGTACTAACCATGTAAACATAATTTTAAATAAGCAAATATTTAAGTAAAGTTGTATTCTAACTGTTTTATATTAGCAATGACTATTTTTATTTCTGTTCACGAACTGCATTAGCCACATAATATAATCATGAGATATATATTAGCTGTTATAAAATCACAATGCTTATTTTTCAGAGATACCTTTGACCTTTACCCTGTAATCAATTATTCTATATAATAATGAAAAAGTCACAATTGAGGCATAAACTAGTTTGTTATCTCTTACCAAATCTCTTGGGGCCGGATGTGCTTCAGAATTAAGATTTTCAGAGTTTAGAAAGATATGGCACAACTTAACAGTTTATCTATTGCTTAATAATAGACTACCCCAAAACTTAATAACTAAAAGCAGCATTAATTTATTATTTCTTAGGGTTCTCTCTGGGTGAGCTGAGCAGTTCTTCTTTTGGTCTTGCCTGGGCTAACTCAAGCAGTTGCATTCAGCTTGGAGACCTGAGCTCGCTCTGTCTAGGTCGTCATTCATTCTTGGCTTCTTCCAAGCAACATAGACCCAGGGCAGCATTCTAAGAAATTGCAAGGCCTTTAAGGATTAGTCTTGTTAGTTGGTGAATGTCACTTCCACTGCTTTCTATTGGTCAGAGCAAGTCACAAAGCCGGGCCAGTCTCTTGGCTTACAAACTTGAGACAAATATAATATTTTTTGATTTGTGTGCAGAGAAAAGCAGATTATTGATAATTATTTTTTTGCCCTTAACAGGCATCTGAAGAATTTCTGAGCTATCCAACGTGGGGAATGGTTGTCTGTATCGCTCTGATGGTCCTCGCAATACTCCCTGTCCCAGTAGTCTTCATCGTTCGTCGCTGCAACCTCATAGACGATAGTTCTGGTAATTTAGCATCTGTGACCTATAAGAGAGGAAGGGTCCTGAAAGAGCCTGTAAACTTAGAGGGAGATGATGCAAGCCTCATTCATGGAAAGATACCAAGTGAGATGTCATCTCCAAATTTTGGTAAAAATATTTATCGAAAACAGAGTGGATCACCAACTCTGGATACTGCTCCCAATGGACGGTATGGAATAGGGTACTTGATGGCAGATATGCCAGATATGCCGGAATCTGATTTGTAGCTGGGGGAAAACCCAGCGTGTTTTGTTTGGTTCATTTTCATCAATGAACATTGGCTCTATTAAGAGAAGCATTAGGCTTCACTTATCAGAGGGCGATCTCAGGTGTTCCATGGCTGTGATCTTTAATTCTAACAGTATATGTCAATTCAACTAGAGCATTCCTTTGGATTCTTTGGTTTACATTGTGCAGAAAGGATTACAGACGAAGCTCACAATGACCGAGGTCCATGTTTGTCAGGATTTTTAAAAGTACTTTTGGTGTATTTTCAAGCATTTCTATTTCTAAAACAGGTATTACCTCAGTTTCTAATAATTTCTGGGTTTAATAGTATTGGCAATTCAAAAATGGTATACCTTAAAATTTACAAGTTTGACTTCAAGCTAACTTCCAGTATTACAAGGAGCAGATCTGTAATTTGGTGCCTCTCAGCACATTTCCATGAATATATTGTGTAGATAGGCTGTAATTATTTTGGTAGCATTGATACCTTCTTAGGTAATTAGCTGAAAAAACTGCAAAATATTTTCCTATGTAATAGCTGTATAGAGCAATAGTATCAAAGAATAAGAAGGCACGAATGCTGGGATGAAAGGTAAAATTCACAGGTGACTGAGAATCATGTGAGTGATGGCTGTATATTTTGTGTAAAATATATGTGTGAAAATGATTTATGAGGGAGTCACTCAGCACTCTCAAGAATTATGCAGATTCTGCATTTTTCTTATGCCGTGTGCCTAAAAACCTACTTGGTATTTATTGTGGCTTCAAGATTACTCATAGTATATTTATATAATATACTTGCAATGTATATAGATATATATTAGTACTTTAAGTACTGATTTGAAAACTTGAAGCAAGATGGCATTTTATTTCATATACTTCGGTTTTGCTTCTGTTTCATGCAAATATAAATCCTTTTTTAAGTGATTGTTAAAATTGTATGGCATTACATTTTAATCTACAAATAAACAAAGTTTAAAAATGATGTTTGTTTCTCACATTGATTTTCCTTGTATCACCTTAACTGGATTATCTTGCCTTTCAGTCATTTCATAATAGTTAATCATCACATTCCATGTGGGATTAAGAGAGTGATTAATAGAGCTACCACCACGTTAGAGAGAAAGGAAACATAGAGTATGATGGTTAAATGGTGTTCTAATGTAGTCTCTTGATTCTGGAAAAAATATTTATAGTCTCCCAAGAAACCATGTGTAATGCTGACTGCTTGCTGGGTCAGTATTGTCTCTGAGGTGCAAAAAGTTGCAATTTTTTAAAAAATGAAATTGTTGCATATGTGAAATTATATAAAGCAGAGAAACTCCATTGGGTGCTACCTAGTTAAAAGTCTTTTATTTATAATTATCCTACTACCAAATCAGTTACATTTTTAAAATAATGATGGAAACAGCAGAAAAATACACCATGTCCCTTGATTTATTTTGGCCAAATATTCTTGCTGTGATATAGATAAATGCTAACAGACTGAATCATAGCATTTAAATATTAATTCTAGTGATTAGAGTTTTTAATTGTTTTACATATTGATGGATATTATGTTTTGTATAACTTAAAAAATTTTAAAAATAGATAATATATGCACATTATACCAAACTCAAAAATTATGACAATTCAGCTAAAGTAAGTTTCCCACCTAACATTTCTCTTAGTCACCCATTGCCATCCTTGAAGGCAACCACCATTACCAGTTTGTTATGTATCCTTCTGGAAATGCTATATGAATATACAATATAGTACATAAATGACAGCATTCTGTATTTTCTGCATCTTATTTTAATGAATAATTTATTTTGGGTAGCGTTTCATATAAAGTCTTATAGATCTGATTCCTTATTTCAGAAGTTGAAGTCATATAAGTTTTGCTTATTTTTGAGTTTTTAATATTACTTTTTTCTTTTTAAGTATTATGGGTACATAATAATTGTATATCTTTATAGGATACATGTGATGTTTCGATACAGGCATACAATGTGAATTAATCAAATCAGGGTAATTGGGGTATTCATCACCTCAGGCATTTATCATTTCTTTGTTAGGACCATTCCAATTCTACTCTTTTAGTTATTTTAAAGTATACCCAAATTTATTGTTGATTATAGTAATTCTGTTGTGTTTTCAAATATTTTTTACTCTATCTAACTATATTTTTGCACCCATTGACCATCCCCACTTTATCCTCCCTGCCTGCTACCCTTCCCAGCCTCTGGTAATCATCATTCTACTCTCTTTCTCTATGAGATCAATTGCTTTTTAAATATTTAGCTCCCATGAATGAGTGAGAACATGTGAGATTTGTGTGGATTCATCCCAGGGATGCGAGGATGGTTCAACATATCCAAGTCCATCAATGTGCTACATCGTATCAATAGAACAAAGGACAAAAACCATTCGTTTATTCTTGTGTTGAAGCAATATTTTCTCTTATAAGCTACCCCAATATTAAAAGGTTTCTAGCAAATACTTTACCTGCCAGCCTTTAATGTAACACAATAATGCATTGCCAGATAGCATTATTCCCCCCCCTCTCGCCATGAATGATCTTTAAAAAAAATTGTATATGTTTATGGTGTACAACATGCTGTTTTGATATACACATTATTATTCCTACAATTAAGCAAATTAAGCCTTCATCTTCCTTCTTACCTTTTTTTGTGTGGTAAGTGTGCCTAAAATCTACTCTCTCAGCAAATTTTCAGTATAAGATATAATATTATTAACTGTAGTCCTTATGCTTTACATTATATCTCCAGGCTTATTCATCATACATAACTGTAAATTTGTACCTTTTGACCTTCTCCACACTTCCTCCCCTCACAGCCCTTGATAACCTTTTGTTCTACTTCCTATTTCCATGTATCTGACTTTTTTTTTTTTTTTTAAGATTCCACATATAAATGAAGTCATGCAGTGTTTGTCTTTCTGTGTCTGGCTTATATAACTCAGCATAATATCCTCCAAGTTTATCCATGCTGTTGGAAGTGGTGGTACCTCCTTTTTTTTTTTTAAGACTGACTAATGCTCCATTGTGAATATATATCAAAATTTCTTTATCCATTCATCTGTTGATGGTTGATGGTGACTTAGGTTGTTTTCGTATCTCAGCTTTTGTAAATAATGCTGCAATGAACTTAGGAGTGCACCTATCTCCTTGAGGTGCTGATTTCACTTCCTTTTGGTATAATCAACAATTTGGGTATTTGCACTAGGAAATAGGTCTCCATCTTTCTATTCACAGAGTAATAATGCAAAGAATGCGGGAATCCTATTTTTGATTTTGAAGAGAATTTAAACCCCTTCTTATGCCTTCACTTGGCAGATGAGGAAATTATGTCAAAGAAGTTAAAACAAAATGGATAGGGGTTCTCTTCCTTTTGCTTTTTTCATGCAGTCAGTTCTTCAGCTGGTCATGCATTTATTGATTTATTCACACTTTTTTTTCATCATCTAACTAAAATTCTACCTGAGTATTAAGCCAAGGCACCATTATATTAATATTATAGAGTATAAATTTTACTCATCTTTCCCTCATTTTATCTCCTTTGCCAATGAGACTCCTTATCTCCCCTTTCCCATGCAATGTAGTATTTAATCAATAGTACTTTGGAGTATTCTTCTCTATACTCTAAAATCTGAGGCTCCTTATCTTTATATTACTTTCCACTATTTCTATAAACTCTGGCCTAATCTTGCACCTAGACGTGAGGTAGCCAAGAATTATCCACCTTTAAATGGAAAGAGGCTGAGGAGAGTGACAGGAGGGCTAATTCAGTGTTCTGGAGTGAAATAAAAGAATGTGGGAGAAAATGTACTCAGTATTAGGTGCTGGAGCCATAACGAGGGAGGAAATGCGGTGGTCTTAGAGTGTGAGTTCATGAAAGTATATTTGCATTTCCATGTGTTTATGTTTATGTGCATTTTTTATGCAGAAGTTATTTTTTTCATCAAATCCTCAAATAAGTATGTGATCCCAGAAAGTTCAAGATCAAGTCATAGTGTTTCTTAACTATAATTATGCTTTCAATCACTTGTGTCCTTTTTAAAGCCAAATTTCTCAACCTACTGAATTAGAATCCTTTTGGGTTTTGGAGCAAGAAGTGAGTAATTTTTTATAAACTTCAGAGTTATTGTAATGTGCATTCTTGGTTAAGAGTTGTGGGTACAAAGAAAATGAAAAGAATGACAAGTAAAATATTAATCCTGCATAATCCTTTGGATATGGTTTGTCCCCATCAAAATTCGAGCTGAAACTTGATCCCCGGTTTGGCAGTGTGGGGACGTGAGGCCTAGTGGGAGGAGTTTAGGTCAGGTGAGTGGATCCCTCATGAACGGTTTGGTGCTGTTCATTCTCAAAGTAGTGAGTGCTTACTCTTCAGAGACTGGATTAGTTCTCATTCTCATTCTTATGATATTGGATTAGTTTTTGAGGGAATAGATTAGGGCCCAGAAGAGTGGGTTGTTAGAAAGGTAGGTTCCTCTTCCTGTTTGGTCCCTCTTCACACATGTCTGCTTCCAATTTGACTTTCCACTATGTTGTGACCATCACAAAAGCCATCACCAGAAGCTGAGCAAATATCGCCACCATACTGCTTGAACTTCCCAGCCTGAAGAACTGTGAGCTAAATAAACTTCTTTTCTTTATAAAGTACCCAGTCTTGGGTATTTTGTTACAGCAACACAAAATGAATTAAGACAAATCTTATTTGTCTTCTCTCAAAGAGAATGAAAATAAAAGTGCTATAACCATGATAATGGGGGGAGGATTATTTTGGTGAGGAGAAGGTAGAATTAATAATAAAAAAATCTTTCAAAAATTAAAGTATTTTTCCATTTTTGAGCTTATTCTGTGGTCACTGTGTTTCCTGAACACTCCTCAAAGAAATTCATATCATATTGGTTAAGCATGAATAAAACCAATATCAATTACAGCAACTACGTGGATTTTTTTCCCATAAATTTAGTTGTAAACTGTTTTGAGCCTTAAAATTTTGACAAAATGGGAACATCATAAAACTCTAGGATACTATTAGAAATATTAAAATAACACTTTCCATAAGCTATCTATTACTGAGTGTAGCAAATTTTTCCCTTCATAATTTGGAACTGAAGTGAAATGCTCCATATGTTATTTTGCCTCAAACAACTGACTCAAAAATTGACTCAGCTTCTAGTTATTACGACATGCACGTCTACCTAAAACTTTGTCTTAAGGATGCTTCTCATGTGGCAGTAAAAAGAAAAAAGGGACTTAGACATTATCTTGTCCCAAATTCAATGCCCTTTGGATTCGGCTATTGTTTAACACACCACAATCATTCTTAGCAATATGATCAAAGCACATACCATCACTACCACCAAAACCCCAAACACCTGATTTACTTGATCGGCAAGAAATGTGCCATGTGGTGTCTGTGCAATGTGTGTGGTACCATGTAAATTAAAGAATGCAGGCTCCATAGATGAATGATGATATCGTAGCTGCTATTCTTTTCCCATCATTTACCTTTTCAAAGTACATTCAGTTGCATAGTAAAGAAGATAAAGGCTCTTTAGAAGAGATTGACATTTATTTTTCTCAGGAAAATATCATTATACTACTTGCAAAAATATATTGTTTCAGTGTTCATTACAGAAATGCTTGTAAAAAGCAAAAAAAGCAGAACATGATACCCAGCATATCCTCACCTGAAAATATAGAATAAACCTTAAAATTCTCAAGCATGGTAGCAATGTGGCATTCATTTGATCTGCTTATCCCTAGCCTCTATCTACATTATTGACAAGGTCAACAGAATTCATAGCTTCAGACACCTCTTATACTCTCTCTCTCTCTCTCTCTCTCTCGTTGGAAATAAGCCTTTTTTTTCACCTTCATTCTAAAGCTTTGTTTTAATTTGAGTCAATATTAAAAAGATCAGTATGTGAAGATAGGAGATCAGTTAAATCAATATCTGAAAGAATTGAACA